TCCAGTAGTGGTTCATAAATCAACTATGGAACTTCGATGATATTGGTCACCTCTTTGGCCGACCCTTTTATACTTAATACGACTGTCGTTCAGTAAAAGCTTCTTGATCTTGGCGCTTGTTTTCTCATTGGTTTCTTTCGAGGATCAAGCATTCCCATTTTCAAACTTTATGCTAGGCAGAGTCAGAATTTAGGCGAATAGAAAAAATTCAAAATTTTTTTTGAGAACCGTAGAACAAAATGGCAAAGAAACTTGAATGTTTTTATTTTTCGAAATGAAAATTTATTTAAATTGCAAATGGTTCCTTGAGACGCGTATATTAACAAAAGAAGAGACGCATTTACCGCCACATATATATATTTATTTATTTACATGTATGAACTGATTGTAGTACAGGGGATGTTATCTTTGTGCCAAGTAATACCAGTAATATCAGAATTTATGATAGCCGCAACTTCTTTTTTGCCGGTAGATCTAGAATTATTTTCTGCTTGGATTTAAACTTCTCTGCATGATATTTATTCGATTGTTAGGATTTTACTTGTTCTAGTATAGGAGTGTTATGCGAGTTTTGAGTAAATTTATAAACTCTTGTTTTATCAGCTAAGTTTTTCATCGCTTCATCGAAGAGCAGTTAAAAAAATGCTTAAAGCAAAAGTAGCCTTAAGAACGGTCACTGCCGGCAAACATGACTTCAGGTGTTTTAGTGTGAATGGGTTAAAAAATTCTCTTGCCAGAGTTTCAATAAACTGATCTTGCTCGGCTATGATTACTTTATGTGATTTATTGGGGAAGGGTTACAAGGGCTCTTCTGCGAGATTTTCGATAAATTGGCAAAATCTTGTTTGCTAACTAAGCACTTCATGCCTTATCGAAGATGGTTCAAAAGAATGCTTACAACAAACGTAGTTTTAAATTGTGCTTGAGAAGTCAGCATAGTAAGGAAATGCAAAAAAACACTGTTCTACGGATACTTTATGCACTATATAGATATATATGTATATATATATATGTATATATATATATATGTATATATGTAAAAATATATGTAATGCGTAGTGGTTATAAAATGTGTATAAAACATTCTTTTTCTTTCTTTTTTAAACAAAACTCTCAAAGATACTTGAAAATCAGCCGCGAGTTTGCCTCTATAATAATAATTCCTTCGTATTTATTTTTACTTAAAAAAAGGGGGAGAGAAAGAGAGAGAGAGAAAAAACAAGTATTCCTTTTAAGGATTCTGATAACGTGCCAGCAGCCAGCATAACCTGATGGAAACTTTTGACTATTTTTGGTGTTATCATAACAATGACAATAATCCGGCAGATAAAAGCGGCCTATTATATTAACGGTATACTTTTGCTGGAGTGTACGCATAGGATAGTGCACGTATTACTTATGTTCAAAGTGGGCTTTTTTTTTCTATCTCTCTCTATCTCTCTCTCTCTCTCTCTGTTTTAATGCATTCTTTCGGTTCGACTTTTATAGTAACGGAAGTAATGAAGATAAATTGTGTATGGGAGTAAAGCAAAAAAGGAACGAAACGCATTAAAATTTAAGATTATTTCACGTATAATGTGTAAGCTCACGTAAATAAATATGTATGTCTGACAAGATATACATCTTGTACGCTTAATGGAAAATCTCTTCAAAAACTATATCCAAAGGATAGTTATGTAAGAAACTTGCGACCTCACTTACCCCGTTACATGGAGAGAAAATATAATTATTATTTTTCTCTCTTTTGCGCTCTTTATAAATCTTTGAGAAGTTAAGTTTGCTAAAATCGGATTACGTCTTCTAATATTTTGGAAATCCATCAATGTGCGGGGTTTCATGAAAAGTATGCCTTGGCATAAAAATAATGTGCAATTTAATGAATTATTATCAAAACAAGCGAATTGACGTAGGATGTCGAACGATCGGCCTTACCCAACCATAATGTTTTACCTTACACATCTTTTGTTACAAGGGCGTGTACATTAAGTTGGCGTGGATGTACACAATACTTTGAAGGACTTGAGATAAACCGACCGATTTAGAAAGTGATTTTAAGCTTATCTCTCCGTCTGTCCATCCGCATGTCTAACCGTAATTTTGCAGATATATTGATGAAATTTGTTACGCCAGCGTACTTTGGCCCAAGAATGGTTCGGGTCGGTTGGATTTTTTCGACCAATCCCCATAAAAAGGTACTTTTTTTGAAAGGCATTATATGAACAATTCTAAGGTGATGTAGGATACCTAAGGATGGGCCACGACCAACTATAACGTTTTTACTTGTTTCTTTTGTTTCCTTCCCTAAACTAAAACCTATTTTGCAATTACACAAAGTCTACTGAATGTTTTTACTGATATACAGTTTTTACGACGATAAAGTTTTATCAAATAAAATGTAATCAATATTTCGTTTTGTATAGATCGTAGACGGTTTGTTAAAAGGTGTTTAAAAAAAAAACTCGAGAAAGAAAAATTAAAAAACGACTGCGTAAAAAAAAAAGTGAAAGAGACATATGCTCGAAAAATGCTGCAGCTTCCGTTGCCACATCGGCTAAAGCTATGTTAACAACATAACCGCTATTACATAAATGTATATTAATCTATGAGTGGCTTTCACAATATATGAATCGCTTCGATCAAATCGTAGATGAGGACTTCGGCGATGTCAATTCAAATAGACGCGCTCGGTGTATAAAATTCCTGCAGAGAAAAACCAATCATTATATTCTGTCTCTTTAAACGTTCGAAATATTCATCTGAAAATCTTTATATTTTTTATTTTTGAAAATTCTTTTAACAATTCTTTCCGATTCGTTTATATCTCTATATTTTCTTAAATCTCGATTTTGTTTAAAAATGACTTATTTCATAAGCAATATTCAGGTAAATAAATGGTTAAACTTCGAGTTTAATTTTCTGCAGTTTATTAAGGCTGATCTCCTGGAAAAGGTAACAGTGTTAAATGATGAAACGCAATATCTGATAATATGAGCTAATGTGAGACAGATAAATCTTGAGCTTTGGGTATTACTACTCTCGAGTACATATCATTTGCTGCATCCTGGAATTTAAGGAGCAGAATTAGCGATTTCAGAAGTTTAATTCTGCAGTTAGTTTGCGGTGCCGCTAGCTAGGAAATAGCACTTTCATCGCTTGGAAATTGCCTGGATCTATGATAGTTATTGAGGCAGAGTCCACAAAAGGGTATACATCTTAGTTAAATAACAATACTAGCACAAGATAGTCCTTATTTCTTCTTCTTCTTCCTCTTCTTCTTCGTGCTTATCTTATTCTTGCTCTTCTACTTCTTCAAGATATTCATGATTAAGTCAAGTTGAACTACTTGAGTTGGTTTCGAAAAAAAAACTGCTTGAATATAGTGTGATCTTTTCTTAAAAAATTGGTCCTTATTAAGTTGAGGAACGTTACCTCCAAACATAGGTAAAGGAAGCGTGCACAAATGTTGACATAAGACAGCAAACTAGGAGAGATTGCACTGTAGGCGTGTAGTGATTGGAATGGAAAAAAAATTTTTTTTCTCGAGATTGTTTCAGTTTCTTCTAGGCGTGCAATTTATCCGATCACAACCAATTTTCAATCCTGAATTCTTAATTGACTAAGGAAGTCATGTCAACTGTGACAGTTTGGTAAGGATAACGGATTCAAATGTTCTCTTTCGGAAAAGCTTGGTATACGTCATCGGTATCCCGAAAAGTAGGGAAAGTAAATCAGAATTGGTTACCAACATTGAAAGGTTTTTCGAAATTAAAAGGGATCAAAATATTTTCGTGCGCTGTAGTTCTAGAGTTAAGACCATGTTTCGAAAAACACAACTCCATTTTTTTTGATCAAGAAATCAAGTTATGTGATAGGCAGGAGGAGATTATCGAACGGAAAAATATGTGTCTTCATTATTCTAGTATACCCTACCGCACTTGTGGTATACTAAGTTTGTGGAGATATGTGCAATGCCCAAAACGACCTAAGATAGATCCACTTTTCATTTTCCGTCTATATATCTATCTTGTTTTCTTGTATTCAACCTACCGCTTGCAATTTTTGAAATATTTTATATTTGGTATACCACCTGGATTTGACCCAAGGACGAACCCTGTCGTACCACTTCCTCTTAACCGCTCCTAATATAAAGTCTTATTTAGAAAAGGTTGTTGTATGAACAATTAGATCAAAGGATACGATGTAGAATATCTAATGGCCGGCCACGTCCCACTGTAATGTTCTTTTTAATGAGCAGTTGTGGGTATAAACTCAAGTTTTTAAATTCATGTTTAGCTATTAAATGAAAAACATCAAGGCTAGTGAAATGGATGAAGAACAGTATATAAAATTTTGTTTATTTGTTGTACAAACATTTTCTTTCCCCTTTTTTTATTGACATCAAAGGTTTGTTTATATTGAGGGGAAGATGTAAGCAAAAGTTCGATGCAAATCGTTTACTTTAGGGCGCAACATGTTTTATGTCTTGCACACGAGCAAATCGTATATATAACGCATATATGTACCTATAGTTATATATACATATACACAAATAGGGGGCGCCTTGATCAAAAACCAAGGAAAATCTTTTGCTTTATATATCATGTCAATGTCCATGTATAAGCAAATTATGTAAAGATATAACCATGTTTCTTGATTTTAACTTTAGTTCATAGTGGGCGGGGTCGAAGTTAAACAATTTGTTCGAAATTTAAAACAATTCATCACCTTTTCTTAAATTATATTACATTTCGTATTCAATTGATCTGAAAATTCGTGATCTCTTTTCAACTCCATATATATATATATATATATTTATTACACATATATACAATTTCTGTAAAGATTTTAGTTCGTAGGGGGCGGGATCGATGTTAAACAATTCATTCCTAATCTAAAACAATTCATCACCTTTTCGTAAATTATAATAGATTTCGTATTTAATTAATCTGAAAATTTGTGACTTGATCTCAACAGTGTTTGTATTCCTTTTTTAATTTCAGATTGCGCTAAACAAAATTATGCAAGATAAGCTGCAAAATAATTCAACAACGACGACAACATGAAGAAATTGTTTAATTTTAAAAAAGACGAAACTTAAAGAAACAGAAAAGAAGGAAAAAAAAAAAAAAAAAAAACAAAATAAAACCATAAATATTAGTCAACATTAGGATTATCGGCAACAAGACAAGCGACGAAGTGTTAAACACTTTAACATTAAATATAATACTTATCTACGAAATTCTACATGAGGCGAAAATAAGTCGAAAAGTAAAGAAAACAAAAAGAAGTACAATAAAGTAACAAAAAAAAAAAAAAAAAATTTAATAAATAAATAAATGAATAAAGCGAAACGAAGAAATGAATGAACGGTTATTATGGATGAATACAAGAGCTTCCTTGTTTCTGAGTTAAAAATTCAGATTTAAATAAATTTAAAAAAAGAAAAATTAATCGCTTAAGCACGAAAACGTCTCATTTCCTGATTTTAAGCAAAAGAAAAAAAAGAAAAGATTTGCTTAACGAACACGACCTATCATATTCCAAATATCGAAGATTGAAATAATCGGCGAACCCTTCTCTTCAAAATTCATCTGAGTGAAATAAAACAAATGGTGCAATAATATAATATTTAATTAATAATAATAAAAAAGAAGAAGAAGAAAAAAATTTATTAAAACGGAAAAATTTCTTCAAGAAAATAAGAAAAAAACTTGAGACTCTTAAATTTTCGAAAAACGAAAGGGTTTTTAAAAATAATTAAAAATTCTAGTGTATAAAATGTCATTGGCCGACATGGGTACAGCGACTCGAGGAGGTGGCGTAGCCGCTATCGATCATAATTCAGGTGGCGGCGTTGGTGGAAGCGGTGCTGGTGGTGGAGCTGGTGGCCTACCAGGAGCCGGTCGTATGACTCATTCACTGAGCACACCATCTGGAGTCGATGGTACACCATCGACGCCCCGTCATCGTGGCGGTAAAAAACTAACTGTGCGCATACAAATGTTGGACGATACTGTAACAATGTTTCAAGTTCAGGTAAATTCTTTTTTCATGTATGTGTATTATGGACTAAGACAAAGTTAGGACAATTTTTGGGGCTAATAAGAATTCGTTAGCAGGCGAAAGACTCCAAACCTACTTTAAATGTTATCATAAATCGTCAATCAAGGAGAAAATTTGAATTTTTCTATCCTACATTACCTCTAGCATAGGGTGCAGTAAGTTTTGTGCGGATGTATCTAACAACCAGGGGGACTTGAGATAAACTCATCTTTCATTATAACGATCGCTGTAGAAAGTGATTCTGGGTTAATCCATGTATTCTTCTGTTTAGCCTACGTGTTACAGTTTTTAAGACAGTTTTGACGAAATATTTCAAAAACGAACGTTATTCAAAATGGATTAGATCGACCAAGTGATCACATTTTCATATAATATCGTGGTTTGCTAACACTTTTTTTTTTTAAGAAAAAATTTCCAATTCTTAGTATTTCTCATAAAGTCATAACACTTTACATCACATGCGGTACAAGGGCATATTAGGTTTGTGCGAATGTAAGTAACACTCATAGGGACTTGAAAAATCCCTTATTATACTGATCGATCAGATACTCATGGCTACTGATAAAGTTCATTTACGGCACTCTTTTAAAACAAGAAAGAAATGCTACGGAAACTTGTAAAAATTTATTGATAGCGTTTGGTGAAGGTACAGTTTTACAAATAGGCGATATTTCGAGCTTGCTAATAAGCCACGTCTTCGACAATCATTTTCGATTGACAACGATTCTGTCAGAATCATGATAGAGCGAAATTAGACAATATCGAAGATTGCGGAATAGATTAACTCAGCTCAACAAACCATTTTGGAACATATTCGGCAGCTAGAACTTTGAAAACGGACAGAATTTTTCCGTAGACTTAATAATTGCATCAGCTTTGGACTACGTTGCTCTACTTCTCATAACAGAATAGAAAGCATGGCTCTTTGTATTAACAAACTACAATTTTTCACATTTTATAACGAAAATAATTATACCCTACACCACTTGCATATTAAGTTAGTGCGAATATCCGCCTGAGTAGCCGAAGGCGAGGAATCTCGACTAGCAAGTCAATGATTGTGGGTTCGAATCTCAAGTGAGGTAGAGTTTTTATTAAAAGCCGATTGCCTTAGATGCTAGTGCTTTTAAGAGTTTAGTCTTGGAATTTATTTCTCTGGCGAAGTTAATAATAATAATAATAAGCTAGTGCGGGTTTATGTAACACCCAGAAGGGCTTAAGACAGACCCACCGCTCGATTCATAGTGATAATCTGATTAGATTTAAGCGTGTCTGTCAGGCCGAAATTATTGAGATATTTTGTCGAAATTTGGCACATTAACGTAGTTTGGGCCAAGGACGAACGCTATTGAAAATGATTGGAATCGATCCACTTTTTCGACCACTTTCCTTATAACGCTAAAAATGCGTTATATGAAAAAAAATTGGAATTTTAAAAATTTCTCCATAAAAATAGCTAAGTAGTAGTATTTCGGCACAATAAATTGGTGGGAAAACTTTGGACTGGGTGGAGCAATTTTTTGAACCCCCTCTCCTATATCAAAAGCTCAAGTTCATACGAAAAAAGGGAATTATTTTCAATGTTCCATGACGAATTAAAAAAAATTAACTCTGCCAAACTTTGACGGTCTCGGCCTATTTTTTAGATGCTACCCTAATAAGGATTTTCGTGAAAATTGACCCTTTGTAGAGCGGTAAAGTCTAAGCTTTAATACGTCGTAATGAAAATTGACCCATAATAGTTATTTTCTTACAAAAATGAACACTAGAAAATTTGGACCAACTACGGCTATTTTTGGATCCTACCCTATGTAAGGATTAAATTTGTACTACATTAGGTTGCGTTTTGGGCCCGCTTCTACTGACTTGTGTCAGACAATATGGTGTAAGGTATTTAAATACCGGCCTTGCCCGACTGTACTGTTCTTACTTGCTAAGGATTGGTATTAAGCAAAATCCTAGATCCTAGGTGTTTAATGGTCGGCCTGAATGAACTTTTTTGATTTCTTCTTTATCAGTTTTATTGCAGTAAAACATTTATTAAATACGCAGCAGCTGGTAATGAGAACAAATTTCATTTGTTCTCGAAACTGGAAATTTCGTTCTGTTCCTTGTATTCTGTAAATTACTAACAAAACTTAATTTTAATTACATTAAAAGTTGTAAAAAAAAGAACAGAAAAAAAAAAAAAATGAAAATGTAAAAACAAAAGAATTGAAAAATGGTTTTCAATTTTTTTACAAGTATTCCTGTGCCGCACGATTCTCAGTACATTACATGGAAACAAAATCAGAAAATCAGACCATTAGACCTATCGGCTGGCTGGCTGGCTGGCTGGTTGGTGAAGGCAGTAAGTAAACAAAGCCAAATGCACTGAAAGGGTAAAAGAGGAAATAAAAACAAGCAAACATTTGAGAATTGTTAATTCTTAAAGCAGCGGTAAAAAGAATGCCTTCGTATGGTTAACACCACTCATTACCGAGCATCTCATATATACATATATATATATATATATATATACATATATATATACATATATATATAATAGAATAGTCCCAATTTCAGAGATGGAGATGTTATATACATATATATATATACACTTATATATTTTATATGTGAATGCATATAATGCATCGTCGTTTTTGTTCTTTGGCTGAATTCCAAAAAAAAAAATTGTTCGTTTTTCTTTATGAAAAGCAACAACAATAACGAAAACAAAAGCAATCCAACAGCAACATTTTGAATGTAATGAAAGCAATGAAGGAATGTATCGAGGCGTGCCGGTGAAATGAACAGAGAGAAAGAGGACAGAGGAAGAATTGGAGCCTTTCTAAGCTAAAAATTCTTTATTTATGTTTGTTTTTGGAAAATGTTTGAGGCTTTGCATAGGAATAACTTTTTTCTCTAAAGTAGTGCTGATAGCATTATAAACCGTAGCACTCGGTATGCGTCTCAGCTACAAAGGGAACAAACAAATTTAACGGGTTTTTAATGCCAAAATTCAAAAAAAAAAAAAAGGAACAAAAACAAACAAACAAACAAAAAGAAAAGAAAAGCGAAAAACAAAAACAATCACGACAAAAAGCAAACAAAAAGAGCAATGAACGACAATAAAACCAACACTTTAACGTAAACACAAACAGAAGTAAAATCATATATATATATACATACATACACACACGTGTATATGTAAACACAAACACGCGTACACATTCATATGAAGACTCTTGTTTGTATGGTTTGTACTTATAACAAATGAGCACACAACTAATGTAGTGCAGGCAAGCAAGTAAAGGCAGTACATATATATGAAGAGATAAGGTCTACGACCGTTAGGTCGCGCCTCAATATTGTGTAGCTTTTCAAACACACACACACACACATGGAAACATACACTGCACTCATATTTATATATATATATATATAAGTCGACATATTTGCAATAGTAACAAGAAGAACATTGCGGTTTACATTAAACGTACATTTATACTAAAGAATATTAAAGGCTTTCAGTTATTTATGCAGTAAATAGTGTGCGTATGTATACATGCATATATCCATACATAGATATGAGTACAGGTGTATATATATATATGTATACACCTTTATGTATCAACCACAATATGATTATGATTATGATATATATATATATATATATATATATATATATGGAAAAAAAAACCCCTTTAAGTCTCAAGTGTTATATGTTATGTGTCAGTAAAGCATAGAAAAGGCAAATCCTACCAAAAAATGCTAAATACACATGAATGAATAGAAAGAAGTAAGGCAAAAAAGAAAGAGAGAAAGTGCGTCATAGTGTCAAAGCACCACCAGAGTGAGAATCAGACAGACAGAGAGACAGACAAATAAGAAGTAAGCGAATTATAAATATAACAATGCTACTTATATCTCCCGCTATTTAATCTTTTTTACCTCAATATTTTCTAAAGACTACTTATTACAAAAGCCGAAGGTTTATATTTACTTTCGAATGAGTGGTAATTACTATATTCCCCATATAAATAGAAGCGTGTACTAGTTGAAATATTTCCCTGCAGCAGTCAGAACTAATCAATACCGCAATTTTGGCAAAGTTTGTATCAATTTTTGCCTATTCTCGAGACACTGTTGTACTGTGCAGTGTAATGAATTTTCTTGATTCGTGTCAATGTTAGTTGCATGACATTAAATGGCGCCACTATTGAAATATTCATATGATTTTTAGATAATGTCAGCTGTCAAAATCTCATCTCATTAGTTTACATCCATATCTAAATCTATAATGACGGCACACCTAGCATGGATATGAATTCGGATATTCAAAGCAATGAACGCACTAAGTATTTAACCAAGAAGAGAACCCGAGGAAAGAAACTGATTGATGAACAATCTTTCTATGGCAGACAAAGGAGACGTATCGGAAGGCTGGCAATCTGATGGGCACAGTAATATCAGCTAGTCATCGAAAGCACTGTGCAAGACAAGCGCAAGAAAAACATTCATAAGATCTGGAATTATGAAGACGCAGCCTACACTTGATTACTGTCCTGTGTGCGAGACACAACTCACTTACGTACCACCTAAAAGGTATGGATGTGAATTTGTGCTAACTCTGTGAGGACAGAGCTAAGACGTCCTATCACATTTTATGGTGTTTATGGGGCACAATTTATAAAACGATACGCAATAGAGTGCTGTAAGCCGAAGAAGGCGGTGTAGGGTTGCAAAAGTTTTTGAGCTAGATGGTTAAGAACAAGGTCGCGGTACCAAAAGCCTTCCAGATTATAATAATAATAATAACAGTCTACTGCACATGAGATCCAACCTGGGTACGCGAAATTGTCAGCTGTGCTTCTTCTCTATTCGTCAAAGGCCAAGTCGGCTGTACGACATTAATTAAGAAAACTTCTGAACCTCAAAAGTAGGAAAAGCAAAAATGGATGTTTTACTGATTACTCATAAACGTAACGATA